TCCCTGCTGTCTATATAGTGCTTTTCCATTGCAAATCAACCCTTATTTAAGTAATGATACAAAACTATAAAGAATCGATGATTGTATAGGAACAGATTATTGTTGTGGCTGGGTTACTAATAAATAATAGAGTTGAATAAGTAAATAGACGTGTATATACTGTTAAGTACTACTGGTAGCCTGACTTCAATAATTGCTAAGAGAGTGGGTTCAGTAACCCCCTTTTAAAATTGATTTAGGAACAGATAGGAACTCCATTTAACGAATACAGATTGCATTTGGTTCTTCTCCAGGATTCTTTTGTCAATCGTTAACTTTCCCGTAGCCTAGAAACCTCAAAATCTTTTCCTCTCCTTCTCTCTTTCTCAGTCTGCATAACCAACTTTAATTTTGGAAAGTTCCTCCTGTCTCTCTCCTCTTTTGTGTTTTCATGGGACATAACCCCTTGCAGTTCAATGTGTGGTCTATGGACCAACAGCATTGATATCATCTGCAAACTTGTTAGAAACGTAGAATCTCTAAAATATATTTCAGGCCCAAGGTTCCATGATCCCTGAGACATCATACCTTTTAGAAGTGGTAATTCCTGGGACTTCAGGTGTAACACAAGTGCCTAGATTTCTGAGAATCTGGTATGATGAGTGCCTTTAGACTATTAGCCGTATTTGGGACACATTTTACTAATTCTGAAATCTTTATTCTTTGTTGAGGAGAAACTATATTAAGGAAATACGAAATCTTTTTTTTTATGTAGAAAACCTTAAGAATAGAAGCTACAAGCCAGGAATAAATTAATATACAAGCAATTTTTATTCATTGATTTATATTAATCAATCAAAATTTTGATGAGTCACCTAAAATTGAATAAGATAGAGGAAGGACACAGTTATGATTTTACATAATGACAAATACCCAAGTATTAATTAGATATGTGAAACTAATCATTAACGTCTCTTGAAAGTAAATATGTACACATATCACGAGCAAAAATACAAAACACATAGAGAATCTCTGTCAAACCACCTTTGCAAATCTGCATATATATGCTTATGCATAGAGAAGCTATATAAAGGCACAAAAATTTAATAGTCACCCTTTTTCTTTCATACTTCAATTAAATGCTGAAGTTTTTTTTTACAACTCTAAATAAATATAGATTAAAATAATTCATTGACCAATTTATATACTGGAATTATTTGAGGTCTATTGGAAATGTTATTAGAAAATGTCTGTTGGTTTAAAACCATTTAAATCTTTAAACATATCTTCTGCATTGAAAAAAGACAATAGAGGTAAACTCTTCAACTGCTCTTCAATTATCAAATAATAACGTACATTTATGACCCATCATGTTGGGTCATCAGATGTCAGGATTATTCACTGAACCCTGACTGTTGCACCTTAGAAAAGTGAGATAGAAGGGCCTTGGAATTGTAGCCATGACACAGGTTTTGACCAAAATTATAAAAGAGCATCCAGCCTCTGTGTGTAGCTCTCCCAACCTTCTCACCAAGAAGAAAAGAGAGAGGACACACACACACGAAAGAAATGAAAATGGAGAAATTACAACCAACACCACAGAAATACAAAAAGCCATAAGAGAATACTATGAACAACTGTATGGCAACAAATTGGATGACCTAGAAGAAATGGACAAGTTTCTAGAAACATACAGTTCACCAAAACTGAATCAATAAGAAATAGATAATTGGAGTAGACTGATCACTAGAAATGAAATAGAACCAGCAATAAAAAACCTCCCTGCAAACAAAAGTCCAGAAGCAGATGGCTTCACCAGGGAACACTATCAAACATACAAAGAGGAATGCATACCAATCCTTCTCAAACTCTTCCAAAATACTGAAGGGGAGGGAAGACTCCCAAACTCGTTTCATGAAGCCACCATCACCCTGATACCAAAACCAGACAAAGACACTACCAAAAGGGAAAATTACAGGCCAATATTGTTGATGAACATAGATGCAAAATCCTCAAAAAAAATTAGCAAACAGACTCCAACAACACATAAAAAAGAGCATATGCTTTGATCAAGTTGAATTCATCCCAGGAACACAAGGATGGCTCAGCATACACAAATTAACGTAATACACCACATCAACAAAAGAAAGGACAAAAATCACATCATCATCTCAATTGATGAAAAAAAAAGCATTTGATAAAATTCATCACCCATTTATGATAAAAATTCTTATGGAGATGGATATAGAGGGAACGTATCTCAACATAATAAAAGCTACTTATGACAAACCCACAGCTAGTATAATACTCAACAGTGAAAAATTGAAAAACTTCCCACTAAAATCTGGAACAAGACAAGGATGTCCACTCTCACCACGTCTATTCTACATAGCATTGGAAGTCTTAGCCATAGCAATCAGACAATAAAAAGAAATTAAAGGGATTCAAATTGGAAGAGAAGAGGTAAAATTGTCACTAAATGTGAATGACATACTATATATAGAAAACCCTAAAGCTCCCCACAAAAACTACTAGAGCTGATAAGAGAACTCAGCACAATAGGCACATTAAAAAATGCTCAATATCACTAATTATCAGAGAAATGCATATCAAAACTATAATGAGGTATCACCTCACACCAGTCAGAACGGTCATCATAAAAAGTCCACAAATGATAAATGCTAGAGAGTGTATCGAGAAAAGGGACCCCTCTTACACTGTTGGTGGGAATGTAGTTTGGTGCAGCCATTATGGAAAACAGTATGGAGATTCCTTTAAAAACTAAAAACAGAGTTACCATATGATCCAGAAATTCCATTCCTGGGCATATATCCAGAGGGAACTCTAATTCAAAAAGATACATGCACCCTACTGTTGATAGAAGCAATATTTACAATAGCCAAGGCATGGAAACCACCTAAATGTCCATTGATAGATGGCTGGATAAAGAAGTTGCAGTATATTTACACAATGGAATACTATGCAGCCATAAAAAAGAATAAAACAATGCCATTTGCAACAATGTGGATGGACTTGGAGATTGTCATTCTAAGTGAAGTAAGCCAGAAAGAGAAAGAAAATACCATATGATATCACTCATATGTGGAATCTAAAAAAAAAGGCACAGATGAACTTATTTACAAAACAGAAAGAGATTTGCAGACATAGAGAAGAAACTTATGGTTACCAGAGGGGAAACGAGGTAGCAAGGGATAAACTGGGAGTTCAAGATTTGCAGATACTAGCTACTATATATAAAATAAACAAGAAGTTTCTTCTGTATAGCTCAGGGAACTATATTCAGTATCTTAGTAACCTATAAAGAAGAAGAATATGAAAACAAATATATGTATGTTCAACCATGACTGAAGCATTATGCTGCTCACCATAAATTGACACAACATTGTAAACTGACTATACTGCAATAAAAAAATTTTAAAAACCTAAAATATCTCAGATGTCACCTGTTTCTAATTTTCAAGTTTTTATAACATTCTATCCCGATATGCATTTTGATATTACCTTGTTCCAAAAAGTTCTCTAAAAGATCTAGAACCAAATATATTGGGTTAAAAGTCGTTTGTCTTGACAGTTGAGATATAAAAATGGAGATCAGGTTGTTAAAAACCTGGTCACTGTGACTCTTCTATATAAAAGACTGATTACTGATTAAAAATCAGTTTCAGATGCCTATGAAGCAAGTGGTTTTATGTGTTTAGATGTAGGAGGTGGGTTTGCAGATTCATTCACAAATGGAATATTTACCTTTGTTGAGAATATAGGCTTTAAAAGCAATTTTCTTTACTATATCAAAGTGCATGTTTTATGCAAGCCAAAACAAGGAAAAGATAGGCATAATGAACATCTGTGAAACTGAGCTAATTACACTCTGTTCCTTTGAACAACAATATATACTGTCACCTAAAGAGAATGTGTCTAAGTGTGCTTAACATCCTGAAGAATACTATTATTAAGACGCAGGTGCTAGTTTCTATCATTTGCAGGGAGGAGAACAAAGCTAAATGCAAAAGAATTTGCTTAAACTGATTGTTTTAAGAACACGAACTAATTTCTTTCAGATTTTAGTTCTTTTCTCGTAGGGGTGTAGTAGAAAGCAAAACAACATCAACAACAAGCCCCAGGTATTGGCTTTCTCTAGTATGACAGGTACAGGTTGCCAAGGTGATGCAGTGAAAAGGTAGGCACAGGCAGACCTGGATTTCATCCTGGCTCTGATGTAGCTGTGCAGAGTGAGAACTATCACTTAACCTTTCTGAGCCTCGGTAGACTGAGGCAGTATTTACCTCATAGGCTTGTTACATGTGATCTTACATGTTGTGTTTCTTCAGTACATGGTAACTGTCATGCTAACAGGTGGAGCTGATTATTGACAGCATTAGATTAGACCAGATGAAATGGACATTTTTGTAGATAAAAATAAAATGGCTAAACTTCAGATCTCACTGCATGGTGGTCCCCTCTTAGGAACCTCAAGGGCACTGTTACAGTGAGGCCACAGTGTGGACAGCAAGGTCAAATTCCTTGGTGAGTTTTGAATCGATGGTCACGGATGGTCATTTTCATCAGTGGCTAGTTTATAACATGCTGAACTAACAACCACAACCACGGAGTCTGGTTCTCTTAGACTGTTCCACTGCCTAGTGCCCACCCAGACAAACATTTCACATTTCACTAAAGTTAGCATATTAAATGCCCTGCATTTGAATGGTTATACTACTGTCCCAGAGTCACAAGGACACAAGAAGGATGGATATGAGCACTCACACCTGCCCTTTATTTTTTTAAAAAAATTTATATTTGTTTTGGGGGGAGGTAATTAGGTTTATTTACTTATTTATTTTAATGGAGGTACTGGGGATTAAACCCAGGACCTCATACATGCTAAGCATGCACTTTACCACTTGAGCTATACAACCCTGCTCTAAACCTGCCCTTTCTGATAACACTATTAACACAGACAAGAGCCATAGACTCTCCTAAAAGCTCTGTTTCAAGGTGTTTTACATATTATTGACTTTGTTCGCAGTCACTCTCCTTTGCACTTGAGGCAGGCGTTTCCGGAAATTTCCACTCAGCAGGATGTAGAGAAAAGGGTTGATGCTGCTGCTGGCATAGCTGAGACAGATGGAGAGGTAATAGCCCACGTAGAAAGCCAGCGTGGGCTGCTCCATCTGTAAGTTCACCAGCTGTATCACGTGATAGGGGGCCGCGCTGAGGATAAAGACTGCCACCAGCACCAGCACCATCTTTGTCAGCTTCATCACTCTCTGCCTCGGAGCACTGGGATTGTAGCTGTAGAGGAAACGGTTGGAGAGACAGAACATAAACAACCATAGAAATTCGAGGGCAATGACTTCCCAGAACTTTTTGGACAGTTCTTAAGGGCTACGCAGTGAAATATGAAGCTCATTTTTATCCTTACTTATTCAGAGCACTGTGACCGTATTCTTTTTATTCCTGTTAAAAATTTCCCAAAATTTCCAAAGCTGGAGCATTTTAAAAAACAAAAATAAATAACATAGTATTGAATTATCATCCAAAGTAGCAAATAAATATACATGCATCTATGCTAATATAAAAGATTGGATAAAATGAGGGAGAAGAGGCAAATCTTTACAGAAAAATTCCAAATAATATATGTAGATACTCCCCTCCCCAGGAGACAGAGCTTAATTCTCTTCCCCTCTTGAGGGTGGGCCTGGTGACTCTTTTCCAAAGTCATCAGAGAAAGAGATAAATAGTAAAAGTGGAGAAGTCTGGCAGACACTACCTTAAATAAGTGATCAAGATTAACATCAATGGAGCTGTCGTGCAGTTATCATGCACTCCCTGAAATGCTGTGAATATATGTTTTTCCTGAAGCATGTAACTAGAGTCTAATTGTGATACAATATCAGACCAACCCAGACTAGGGGACATTCTGCAGGATACCTGACCAGTACTCCTTAAGTACTTAAAACCGTCAAAGTGATGGAAAACAAGGAAGGAGTGAGAAACTGTCCCAGACCAGAGGAGACTGGGGAGATATGTCAACTAGATGCAATGTGATCCTCTGGATTAAATCCTGGAGCAGAAAGAGGACTTTGATGGAAAAGCTGGTGAAGTCCAGCGTAGGGTAGAGTTTAGTTAATAGCATGTACCAATGCCATTTTCTTTGTTTTGACAAATGCATCATGGTAAGGTAAGATGATGGGGAAGCTGGGTGAGGAGTTTATGGGCACTCTGTACTATTTGTGCAACTTCTTCATAAATTTAAAATTATTCTAAAATCAAAATACTTAAAATCCCCAAATTTTATCATGTTGTATCATATTTAGACATTTAATAGAAATTTCCATGGGACATCACTGGAGCAGATCAATAAGCCTGGGGAATAATATTTTAAAAGGCATGGCAGATGAAGATCATTCTAAGGTAATGATTCCTCTGCAGTTCATCAAAGTAGACACCATAATTCCTCTACGTCGTTGCATTTTGAGGGTGACTGGAAGGTATGAACTTTGTTCCATAAGATGCTATTACCATTTCTGAGGAAAGCGTTGGGAGCAAAGTGAGCAGATTTGGAGAACTGTTTTAAAAGGGCTCAAGCATCCTCTCTAGCTGTCAATGTCTCAGTATGATTCCATTTCACCCTTCTCATCATGTCAGCTCCCTGTGATACATTTAGAAGCTATTTTTCCCCCTGTAACTGTGGCTGCTTCCCTTTCCCATTCTAAATCGATTACTCTTTAATAATGTGGTATTTCCAAAGAATTTAAAGAAGTGAGGAAAAATGTCATGAACCAAATGACTACCTAAACCTTTGATATCAGAGTTTGCCATGAATTTTGACTAATGGTGGTTAAATTGTTCACAACTGTTCCCCACAGTGTCGGGGGAAATCCAGCAACCTTGTCTTTACAAAAGAAATACAATGATCTATTCTAAAGACCAATTGGAATAATGATTTTTAACTTAACATGTTATATAATCACTGACTCATTTGAGCAACTTGATATATACAATTTCTAGTATAAAATAATTTAGATTTATTCATATAATTTTGGAGACAAATATTTATTTATTTTCTTTTAGTGGTGTATAGTTGCTATACAATATTATACAAATTACAGGTGCACAATATAGTGACTCACAATTTTTAAAGGCTATTTCCATTTACAGTTATTATAAAATATTGGCTATATTCCGTGTGTTGTACTACATATTCTTGTATCTTATTTATTTTATACATAGTAGTTTGTGTCTCTTAATCTCCTACCTCTGTCTTGCCCTCTCTCCTTCCTTGTCCCCACTGGTAACCACTAGTTTGTTCTCTGTATCTGTAAGTCTGCTTCTTTTTGTTACATTCTCTAGTTTGTTGTATTTCTTAGATTCCATATATGAGTGATATTATACAGTATTTAGAGACAAATATCTTTAAAGGTCCTTCCTAAGTTTATTGTCTTTAGGTAAGTCTTTTGTTTGATTTAGTATCAATTAACCTTGTCCTAAGTGAACAAATAGTAATGACATACTGCTCCTCTATGCTAAAAAAACCTCCCACAAAAATGAAAAGGTTATAAATTATACACAACATCTAGGATATTTAAATTTGTACACAATTCTGCAAAATATTTAAATGATATTGCTGGTGGCAAGTACAAAATTATTCTTTAAATAGAATCTTGATTTCTGTTTACATTTTTATGAACCCATTACATCAGTGATTACAATATTTATCACTGATAGATCCTCAAATAGCTGCTTCAGAACATGTCTTTTTTTCCCCAGAAAATGCCATATATGGAGGTGAATGCCCATATGTCTGAGCGTGGCATGTTTCAAGTGATTGTCACCTAAGCTTCTGTTGTAGATGTCTTAGATCTCTGAATTGTTGTTTCAACAAATAAAGCAAAACACGGCACACACTTACCATCCGGACTCCTTGTTCTGTTGATACATCTCCCAAGTATAGCATAATATTAACATGTAGCACACCAAAATCAAGGGCAAAGGGAAAAAGAAAGTTGTTATCGTCAAATATAGAGTATACCTGTAAAACGAGAGAGAGAGAGAAGCCATGACTGTTACACTCATGACGCTCGGAACCGGTTTTACCGTGTATGACTCTCTGATTTTTCAGGGCTCAGAATAAAAGCGTTTGGGGGAAGCTGAGGATCTTTGGGCGCTTCCACATGGAGAAGATGTGCTTTCCATTGTTCACTGACGATGGCTTCTCTCGCCAACCCTTCTCAGTAGCCAACACTCCCGATTGGGAAATGGGTGGGGATGCTTATTATTACCATTTTATTTAGTGTTATTAACAACAACAGGCAACCGAGGGACCACTTATTGTATGGGAGTCCCTGTTCAGGGTGTTTTACATATTTTAACCCACTGAATTTGTGCAACTCCATGAGTTAAAATGCCATTAGTATCTTCCCATTACAGAGGAGGGAACTAAGGCACAGAGGGGTCAGTGGCTTGCCCAGGGTTACTAAGCTAGTAAGTGGCAGAGGTGAGATTTGAACCCAGACAGGCACTCAAGCTCCAGAGCCCACGCTTGTAACCAAGGCTCAGGATGGCCTCTCAGCAGGCACGGAGGAGGACCAGTTATCAAATCAGCTGGTCTTTTCCTTGGTTCTCCGCCAGAGGGATTTCTTGGGTGAGCCAACTCTGTTTCCGCACAGACTGCAGGTGTCCTTCCTGGCAGAACCCCGTTGTCCTGGAAGAGAGGAGTCTGGGATTGGGTGGGTGCAGACAGGATGGCAGAGAGGGAGCCCCGGGACCAAGAGACCTCTAAACGCGACACACTAGTTCCAATCCCAATTCACTGCAAGGACTTAATTCTGGGAGGAACAACAGAGGCTGAAATAGAATATCCCTTACGATAACCAACTGAAAATAGCATAAACAGCTGTTGGTGCAAAATAGTTAGTCTTTGTTTATTTGACACAGGCCAAAGTCATGTAACTGTACAGCAAGCCCCGGGTCTTGCCCTCCTTTTAGACAGTGTGGGACTCAGGTTAATCCTATCAGCCACAGTGATTAAATATCATTTCACCTTTAGATGGGTGATGCTTTTGTCTGTGAGTGGAGCCAAAGCTGGTGTGAGGAACAGCAAGTACAAAATCAATGGTATCAATGTTGCACTCCTCTGGAGATTTTTGTTGCTGGATTTGTGGCTTGGCTGGGTCTCTACCTCTGTCCCTCTTGGGCTGTGTCTCTCTGATGCAGAAATGATTCATCTATTGAACAAGTGGTGGAATGGGGAAAAGGAATCTGCCAGACTGACTTGCCAGAATGTATGTAAAAAGCACCCAGCACAGTATCTGGCCCTTAGGAGGTGACTGAAAAATTTCAGTCAGCGATTCCACTGCTTTGTTCAAAGTTTCAATCAGAAAAATTTTGGCTTAATTTTCTTTTCAAATTCAAATGTAAGAAATGCCCACGTTCGTTGCTGTATTAGTTTCCCAGAGTTTCTGTAACAAATTACCATAAACTGGATGGTTTAAGATAACAGAAAGTTATTGTCTCGCAGTTTTGGAAGCTGAAAGTCTGAAATGAAGGGGTTGGCAGGGTTGGTTCTTTTTTGAGGTTTGGGGGAGGGAGCACCTACCTGCTCCAGGCCCCTCTTCTCGCCTCTGGTGGTTTCTGGCAGTCCTCGGTATTCCTTGGCTTACAGACATATCACCCCCTTCTCTGCCTCTGTCTTCACATGCACCCTGTCTGTGTGTGCCTTCAAATCTCCCCCTCATCAGGAACCAATCACTGGATTTAGGGGCCACTCTAATCCAGTAAGATTTTATCTTAATTTGATTCTATCTGCAAAGACTCTATTTCTAAATAAGGTCCTATTCACAAGTACTGCAGGTAGGACAAATTTTGGGGGGACACAACCAAACTCCAGCTGCATATTGATAAGGTTTGAGTCTCAGCATCTCCTAGACACTTCTGTAAAGTCCACCCCTCCCTTGGTTGCTGTGTTCCCATTGAGTCTGGCTGCCACAGATCTTTAAAATCCATATTTAAATATATTTCCAGCCACGGAGGTTACATGATTAAACTCAAAATCTTTTTCTAAAGATTACCCTCTCCTTAAAATCAAACTATCAACTCAATGGTGGGAAGCAGAGAACTAAGAGGGGAGATTGCCCCGAAGAGGCTCCCCGAGGACCCTCTGCACGGCTGCTCACGTGTTGACAAGGAGCATGAAGCACTTCACAACTTAATTCAACTCCATTTTTCTGAAGTTTTAACAACCTACCAGAGTACATCGTCAGGGGATGTTAAATCAAAAGCACAGCTCTCAACGCCGTCTTTAAATTTGATGACCTTCGAGTAGACCCAGACAGGCAATGCCAGAATAAAGGAAGCTGCCCAAAGGCCCAAATTGATGCGGATGGTCTTGTACCTTGTTCTCCAACTCATCAGTCGAAATGGTTGGACAAGAGCCAAGTACCTGCAAAGCCAGTTAAGAAGGGTTTGGGAAGAATCAATAAAAGCACTGAGCGCCAAGGATGAAAGGTTCACAACAAGAGTAAATTATTAGTATTATTATCCTCCCTGAAGCACACCTCTGCCAGGGTGAGAGAAAGTTGTATTTTTGAAGAGCTGGCTGGAACCTGTAGGGAGAACAATTCTTGACCCTGTAAGTCTGAATAAACCACTCACTAATACAACTGTGACTTCCGTGAAGACACTGAAAATCATAAAATTCTGCCACGTAAACTCTTTCTTTACAAAGGTGCTTCCCTTGCACACGAGGCTCTGAAAAACTTTGTCTCTGAATGAGGATTTCCTCCAGGAGGGGTGGTCCTCTTCCCAGTAGGGTGTATCGATGTAGCCCAGGAAGTAGGGTGTACTGATTCAGCACAGGAAGTAGGATGTACTGGTGTAACATGGGAAGTAGGTTGTACTGATGCAGGACAGG